ACAAGATTTATGATTTTACATCTAGGGAATACTTCCTTGCTTTCTGTCTGGGAAGCAACATGTAAGATATTTGCAAACATATGCACACAATTGACTTTGAAAATCAGTATGCAGGTGTAATGTTAGCTGCTTTAGGCATAGAACATGTCCCTATGTTATCACTGTAGATAATGTGAATGGATTATATGTGTTTTGTACTTTTTCTACCTGAGTAACTGTATTTTTCTAGCTTAATTATGAACAAATCTTCTTTAATTAACCACTATTTTTTAAAAAAGGTGATATATATATACAAGTGTATCTCCAGCTATCAGCAGAAGGAAAACGCTGTATATGAACAAATTTCATTTTTGCCAAGTGTGGCCTTCTTTTGCCTTCTGGAAATGTAAACAGAAACTTGCATAATAGCTGCCTAGTGAAGCTTTGTTCTTCTAAAACAGAATAATTCTCTTAGTTAGCGGGTGGCCTTCAGCTTGATAATGTGATTTTGGAAAATGTTGAGCAAATCTGACATTTTTAGGCTCAGATCCTAAAGTACTTGACAGTGTATGGTGAGCTGCTGTTTCTCCTATCATTACCAAAGCTTCTGCTGTGATATCCTATTTCTACCCAGTGGAGGGTCTGGGACCCCTTCTTCCAGGGGCTTCTCCTTGGCTGCCCTTGGGTGGTCATTCAGCAGAAAAAAAAACATATATGAAGAATTTCTTGTGCTTTGGGCAGAAGGACAAGGTCCAACTTGGCTTCCTGCCCAAATGGAGAGCAGACAAAGAGCTTCAGGTTATTAACTCATATTAACTTCCACTGCCAGCATCCTACAGGGTGCTAGAATGATCCTCTAATTGACCTAATGGTGTTTTCTTTGTCTTGAAATGTGTGATATAATGCTGAAGTAGTCTGGTCCCAGTAATGTTTACAGTATGTATTTGCCATACAGAATTTACCATGTGGGAAAAAGGTCTATTTTCAAGAAAGAAAACTAGCTACATGTTTAAGCAGTTGGCAGATCTTTTGGGTGTGTACTGTTTAATGCGAGACAGAGTGTGCAGGACCCTCTGCTTTTAACTTCTAAGAACACTAACAGGGGAGAGAGAGAGCAGAGATTGCGCTGCTGATGTTTATGGCTGGCTGTTATCTCCTCACCCACAGCACCAGCTGGCTCTGGACAGGTGTGCCAGGATGCTCTGGGCATCATGACTGATGCTTGTGAGTGACAAACTCTAAGCAAGGAGACACTGGGATTACTCAGTCTCTGCAGCTTTGACTTTGCTGTCCAAAAGCCATGGAACAGTTTTTATTTGAGTAGTACTCAGTGGTTTATTACTGCAGAGTCTACATCATGGCATTGGAGTATCGTGACCTGAATGTCAAATTTGCTGAGGCAAACTGCAGATAAGAGCTCTGAATTCCCATAAACTGAATGCTTTTCAGATTTTTGTATTTTACTAGGTAATTAAATCTTGTAATGCCATATAACACATGGTGACTGTGCCATAAATTAGTGTAACCAGTTTCTGGAAGTGTGCACTTTAATTTCCTCTTTTGAATATTAAACTGATAAACCCTCTCTTATCAAGAGTCATTTTTAGACAGCTAAGATAATTAGGTTTTCACATGTTGTCCATATCAAAAATAATCAAGAAACTATACACAATGTACAAGAAAGTAACAGTTCTCAGTTAATAGTAATGAAAAAACTGTAAAGATTTATAAGTTTCACACTTTAGAAAATATAAAAATACTTTTGGAGATCATTTGGAGAACCATGCAAAACTTGAAATAAGGTAGTTCTTGTTGTGGGGGGTAAAAGAATAAAAATATTTTTTAAATATCTTGTTAACTGTCAAGTCAAAGCCTATATTTTATATCTTTTTGAAGTGATCAAACAGTAAAAATTATAAAGTAATTCTCTAAAATAAAGACAGTGTGTGCAAAAAAAGATCAATAACTTTTTAAACAAAAATTGATGGTTTAGGAATATTTTTATTAATGTTGCATTTTAGTTTCTATAGCTCAGATTAAATGCTAAAGGAGTGGTAAAGGCTTTGGAGCTTTTTTATGAAAATCCATGCCGTCCTTCAGATTATTTCATTGTTCCTTTGAAGGCCCACACCTTATCTTGTCCAACTGCAATTGGCAAATAGATAAAATTGGCAAATAGATAAAAGTAATCTCCCCAAGATGTGTGTGTGCCAGAGTAGCACTGTTTATTAGATTGTGTAGTGATATATCGACCATTTAAAAATCTTAAGTGCCTCAAATAAGACAAGGTGTTCCTGCAACACTGAAGGGAATCTATTCTATGCCCACCTGTCAGGGAGCAGAGAGTGGATAATTTCATTAGGTACAGTTACTGGATTAGCTCTATACGTGGTGAGGATACATAGAGCAGACTGCAGAAATTATGCAGTGAATTACTGGCATATGGTTTTAGGTGTTCCTGTTTGCCAACTGGTATTCTGTCTTGAAAAAGCTTTTTGAATGGAAGTGGTTTTTTCAGTGGAAATCCATTGCAATTTGTGGGGTTTTTTTTGTTAGATTTATTTACAGAAGGAAATGGCAGACAAGGGCAATATAGTTTGTAACACAGTATGTACTCATCACGATGTTAGGAGGTGGCTTCCACCTTGCCTTTTGTTACCTTGCTTGCACAGAATCTGCATAAGAGCCTATGGTTAAATGCAGGCTTCATACAGTTACATACAAGGCATCATATGTATTTATTCATATCACAGTTAAAGAAAGTATATAATTTATCCTTTGCGAGGTTTGATCCTCAAGGAGCAGATGTCAGTGGTATTTGCACTTCTTGGGCAGGACAAGACCCACTTTTATGAACAGTGATTGTAACAGATTATCACAAAGATTCAATGGCAATGGGGGTAAGTGTATTAACAGAAAAATCACAAACCAAAGTATTCCTTCCTTAGTGCTGCAGTATAATAGCAAATGTCTGTCTTTTTTTGTCTCTTTGGGTTTTCACTTTCTGCTTTAAGCACATTCTCTTTGACAAATCCAAATGCTTTTTAGTCTCTGTGAGCCCAGGGAAGAGAAAGGAACTGCTACCAGGACTTGACATCCGTGTTTCCTATAATAGGTGGTGATGATGTCAGGTGGGGGAGAATGGAAGAAACCCTAAAGATAAATGGGCTCAGTCATCTTATTTTTTAATGTTCTTGCAAGCTTCTGCTTCTTTTTCTGACTCCTGTGTTGCCTTGCTGGGACCATCCACTGCCTTAAAGACTGGCTCCCTATCATGGAGGCCAGGCTTTGTATCAATGACATGTTGCTGCAGTAAGAGGTTTGTCTGAGTGAGGTTATTCTGTACAAAAACTAGTGGGTAAATCCCAGGTGTGTTGATAGGATCTGGCAGGATGTCCCTTCTGTCCTGTGCAGGCATAAAATGTCATTGTAGATAAAGGCAGTATTTTGTTAGTCCATCTTTTAGGGCTGGCCATGTCCACTTCAACGATATCATCACTTCAGCCTAACACTTGAGAATTCAGTGGGTGTTCCAGTGCACATTAAAAGCCCTTGTGCCCATTATCATCTCATTTTGTATGTATGGTTTACACTGCTACCTTTGATATATTGTTGCCAAGTGCTTGTTCTAGTAAGTTGTCAATGTATGGCAATGTAATTGAAGATTTAAAGTGTGTACAGTGATTGTAACTGTTTTAGGAAATAAAGTCACTGCACATGCAATTTGATAATGATTGTTCTTTTATTTCTTTAATCTGGTTTCCATTTCAATGAAGGGATGGTACTCTCTTTGCAGCTAGAGCAAACAGAGATATAACAAACTGATCTTTGGCATTTCAGTTCTCCTATTCTTCAACATTTCCTTCTAGCAGAAACTTGTTCTGAATAATTAATTCTAAGTTTTTCTTTTTCATTTTAACCATGGCACACATCTGCAATCAGCACACCTTTCTGGCTACACTTTTCCCTGACTGCAGGAGGGAAGGGGGTAAATGGCTCTGGAAAGCTTTCCTTGCTGTTGTGACCTAAATGAAACAATCTAGATTGAACTACTAATCACTGTTGAATTTGTCCAGTGTGTCTCCATGGAACCACCCCCTTCACATGTGCACACACATGCACATGTCTTCTAGGCTCCTGAGTTGCCTGTGGAAATGTTAATCATTATTAAAATCAACTAATTGCCTTTCAAGTTCTGTGTGTCTGCTGCTCACACAGCTCATTCCACTTAGCTGACAGCTTTATAAGGGTTTCAAAAGTTAAGACCAATTTTTGCTAGATACTGAAATGTGACCCCCATATAAGCTGCATGGATGAGGCAGTCACAAAGTGTCATGTTGAATGGCATTATGCTGGCATTGGGGTTCTTTTTTAAATGTGAAATCCTTCTGTAAAACTCAAATACCCTATAGATGCTGATGACTCTACCCTCTAACCCAGACTACACTTGCTGATTACAGTGTAAAGTTTGAGATGCTTTTCTTTAAAACTCTTACAATCTTCACTTCTACAAAATGAACATCCCTGATGGAGTCTTCAGGAACACTATTAACACACCCTGGTTTCTTTAAACAGAGAATGCAGTCCCACCATTTCCAACAATTTAATGTCACAAGTCAAAGAGACAAAAAAAAAAAAAAAAAAAAAAAACACCACAGGAAAAATATTTTTTCCCCCTACTAAACACCCAAAGCTTTGTTTATCCACTGGTCCCTCAAGCTGT